TATTCCTCAAAATGAATAAAAATAATGCAACTCAGAATATGACGCAAACCTGCAATAATTAAATGTTAAACAACACAAATATCCTTTATGTATTTAATCCCATTCTATTAACCAATGTCTTTGCTTCTGACCTTCGATGGTCCAGTTCATACTAATCAGCAAAAATTACTCTAGACAAACATTTGCGTGTCTTTTTTTTATTGCTGAAGTGTGTTGAAATTTCTTCTTCTGCATTCTACTGTACGGACGTAAATTTACTTTCCCTTCAGCCTGAGGCTTATTCATTTCACTTTTGGTGTGAAAAGGCTTTTATATTTGCCAAAAATATAACTTTTTTATTTTAAAAACAAACAAGCAAGCCCTGTCCAGATTTAAAAAGTAACGTAACGCATTACTTTCCATAAAAAGTAACTAAGTAACGTAATTAGTTACTTTTTTATGGCGTAACACAATATTGTAATGCATTACTTTGAAAAGTAACTTTCCCCAACACTGGTGGCAAGTGGCAAGTCTATTAGTCTGCATTTACACGCCAAGATCTATTTTGACACATCAGATTTTTTTTTTATCCCATGATCCATTACTTATGGTTATCACTGTAACAATCACCACAATTTCGGATTCAGGTCAGAATGTAAATATTTCGCACTACTGCAAAAACTCCTGTTATAATAAATAAAGTTCTATACTGCAAAATGAACACATCTGACTGGTCATTACGTTCACATGCTCAACAGACATGTCTGTGATTGGCTACAACCAGGGGCATAGCTACGGGGTGGCTATGCTAACTGAAGCTTGGCCACCCCTATTGCGCAAGCATTTTGACCGCATTAACTGCTGACTTTTCTCCGTTCAAATAACTGACACTGGCATAAAGGCCACGCACACACTTCAACTGAACCAAGTTATTACTTCATCTCTTACTATTTTGGAACAAATAAGCCCAAAGATGCATATTAAAGTGGACATGGCAACACCACAAGTGTGCTTGGCTAAGCAGCTTTAAGAGCATAAACAAATAAACACAGCAGAGCAAAACAAGCTTAATGGTCAAACATGTCCATCAAGTGCATGTTTACATAGAAAAACAATGTAGTGCAATGGAATGGAAAAAAAACATTTACAGTTTAACGCAACAAAATGAAAAATATTGCATGGTTATACACGCTCCCTCATAGTACATTATTGAAATATACACATATACTAGGATAGCACAAATAAATGCGCAGCCATCTGCATTTGTACTAGGTGAGCAAATCGGATAGTTCATTACGATACGATTAGGGCTGCCACTAACGACTATTTTTATTTCGATTAATCTATCGACTCATTTATCGACTAATCTACATGATTAATTTCCCACAAAAAAATCAACAATTTTAAACAACATTTTATTAAACTTGCAACTTTGCCATTCAGTAGTGTACCATAAAAAGGTATGAAAACAAGCCATTGACGAAATGTAAAACTAAAAGAGTAAAAATGTAAACAAACCTAATAAAAATGAAATAAAAAGAAAATAATTACAAAAGTCTGAGAAAGTCAGCATGTTCTTAATGTCAATATATCCACATGTTCTGGGCTTCTGTTCATTACAGCTGTGAGTGCAACTACAAAGGTGAAAAAAATATGTTTCAATTAACCCCAACAGTTGGGTTTTCACAGTAAATAAATGCAATGTTTAGAGTCCACTAGAATCAAGTATTAAAATTATTATTATTAAAAGTTATTATTATTAAACATTTGAAGTATTAAAAGTACTCTTAGAAATGTGTAAACAACAGATTTAAACAAGACATTTCCAGCATGATGAAAAAAATGAACAGAGGACTTCAGTAGTGAAACTCCAAATGAAATCCGAATTTCTATGAAATCCTTTTTAAAGCAAAAGTAAAGTGCAAAATAGAGTGCAAGAAGCAAGTGTCCATCTCATAGTCCAAATCACTGAAATCAAAGTTCAGTATTATAGTGTAAGAATGACAACATGTCCACGTGTTCTGGTCTAGACTACTAATAATAAAATATTATAATTGTAGGATTATAATTATAAGATGTAGGTTAAGTGAACAATAGCCTTTAAATGTACTTAAAATACATATATAATAGCAATGTGGAAATAATAATTAGTTCAAATAAAGTATCAAAAGCAAGAAATCATATAGTTTTACTGAACAAAACTGTTAAAATACTGTATTATAATGTAATAGAGCCACTGATATATATATAATTATAAAATAATATAATCTATTATAGATCAGTGAATAGAGCTAATGTACAGTACGCATTACAACAAAGGCCTGCAGGGGGCAGCAACAGCCTACCGATTGTTTTTACACATTACTGTGCGATCTAATTCTTATACTTGTTTAATATTTACCAAGCATCATTTAATTCAAATGTCCAGTTAAACAGCCTACCGATTGTTTTTACACATTACTGTGCGATCTAATTCTTATACTTGTTTAATATTTACCAAGCATCATTTAATTCAAATGTCCAGTTAATCTTTAATATTTGGCAATTTATTTACAGCTGAAATGCTATAGCCACTGTAATTGAATGAATATGTGGCCATCAAAACGTGTAAACTCAAGAGTGTGAGGGTTTAAGCTTTTATTTTGAAACCGCGAGATAATGATGTATTCTCCTGTGTTTGCGTGGATTTATAAATGATTTACCTTACAAATCTGAGGAAATGGTGCACGTTGCGTTCCCAGATGAACGTTATAATAAACCCACAGTTCCTGTGGAACAGCATTTACTGTGAACGGAGCCGCTGTGAGAGGCACGTACGTAACCTACACGCCAATAACTAAATCACATATAATTATTTAATTAAATCGTAGCGTTTGTGAATTCACAGTTATGTTTAATTATGTTTTTGTTATACATTTTGTTATGTTACAGCCTTATTCCAAAATGGATTCAATTCATTATTTTCCTCAAAATTCTACAAACAATACCCCATAATGACAACGTGAAAGAAGTTTGAGCAAATTTATAAAAAAAAAAAAAACGGGGGGGAAAAATCACTTGTACATAAGTATTCACAGCCTTTGCTCAATACTTTGTTGAAGCACCTTAGGCCCCAATTACAGCCTTAAAGGGGTCATATGATGCGATTTCAAGTTTTCCTTTCTCTTTGGAGTGTTACAAGCTGTTCGTGAATAGATAAGATCCCTGAAGTTGCAAAGACTAAAGTCTCAAAAGATGCTACAAGCTTGGCACACCTATTTTTGGGCAGTTTCTCCCATTTTTCTTTGCAGGACCTCTCAAGCTCCATCAGATCGGATGGGGAGCGTCAGTGCACAGCCATTTTCAGATCTCTCCAGAGGTGTCCAATCGGGTTCAAGTCTGGGCTCTGGCTGGGCAACTCAAGGACATTCACAGAGCCGTAGCCACTCCTTAGTTATCTTGGCTGAGCTTAGGGTCGTTTTCCTGTTGGAAGATGAACCTTCGCCACAGTCTGAGGTCCAGAGCGCTCTGGAGCAGGTTTTCATCAAGGATGTCTCTGTACATTGCTTTATATACTCAGTTTATTTATATAGCAACATGACACAATAGCTAAATTTAAGAGAAAATGACACTAAATGCTTACAAACGATTCTCTATTTGTTTACACTGCTAATGCTTCACAGGGATTTCATCTTCACTTCCTCCCCTAAACAGTTATCATCTCTTGATGCTAACAGTGCTACTGATACTTTCTGCTCCACTCTTACACCTTGTTTAGACACTGTCTGCCCCTTGTCTTCCAGGCCAGGCCTTACCACCCCT